CCCTGTGTCATGCTTTCACTACTTCACTCGATAAACACTCCCCTAGAGAAGCCAGACAGTTGGATTATATCTCCCAATTTTCAACCGACATTCAGTACATCAAAGGGGATGCGAACGTGGTAGCCGATCCTCTTTCAAGAAGTGACATAAACCAGCTTCAAACTTCGGTAGACATCAGTCTTGGTCGTATGGCTCGATCACAAAGAGATGACGTTGAAATCCAAACCTGCCGCAGAAACTCTTCCTTACAGCTCAAAGATGAGCCTATCCCCTTATCAGATGCAACCATAGTCTTCGATGTCTCTACCGGCACTAATCGTCCATTTGTCCCTCTCAGTTGCCGAAAAGCATTGTTCGAACATTTACATTCGCTTTCTCACCCTGGAGTACGCGCCACGGTCAGAATGATCAGCGAACGCTTCGTGTGGCCTAAAATGAACTCTGACATTCGGAGATGGGCACGAGAAAGTCTCCAATGCCAATGCTCCAAAGTACACCGCCACACTATTACAACCCCGAAGACGTGTGAATTACCCGAAAGGAGATTTCAGCATATCCATATAGATATCGTGGGACCATTGCCAACATCAAGAGGATATACACATATCCTGACAGAGATTGATAGATTTACTCGTTGGGCTATTGCATGCCCCTTAAACGACATATCTGCTGAAAACGTTGTTTTGGTTTTTCTCGACCGTTGGGTGTCAAACTACGGTGTACCAACCTCTATTACATCCGACCGCGGTCCTCAATTCCAATCGACACTCTTTCGCGAACTGACGAGACTTCTGGGAGTGAAACATATCTCCACAACAGCCTATTATCCGGCAGCGAATGGTCTAGTGGAAAGATTCCACAGACAACTGAAAAGCTCCCTGATGGCGCAGAATGATACATCTAATTGGAGTGAATACTTACCTTTGATTTTACTTGGTATCCGATAAAAGAAGATTTAGGATGTACACCGGCTCAACTTGTTTATGGCACCAACCTAACCTTGCCTGGACAGCTAGTCCCCTCAGCCGATTCCACAGACGTGAACATTGCCGACTTCACTAACCGATTAACTAGACAAATGCTTCAACTTCAACCAACAGCACCTCGACAATCTCCCCGACGAGATCAGATCAACAAACATCTACAAACTTGCAAATTCGTCTTCATTCGAGTCGACGCCATCAGGAAAGGATTGCAACCACCATACGAAGGACCTTTCAAGTTATTAAACGTTCAGACAAACACTTTACAGTGAACAAGAATGGAAAACGAGAGACTATTTCCATTGATCGAATCAAACCCGCATTAACAGACAACGGCTTTGAATCTACATCGGCAACTGCACAATCAAATGATCAAACACCCGATTCCACTCCACTGGCACCAAGTCTTATCCTCCCTCCATATCAAACACGTGGTGGTCGGCAAATCAGTAAGCCGACTCGCTACGTTCATTTTGAGGACTAATAAAAAATGATGAAAAATTATTATCTTTTTCGTTTAGACATTATTATCATGACCGTTAGTATTTCGTCGTAAACTTTGATGTTACTATCACTATCAGTTATTTATATGTACCTCACCTACAAATCAGGTATTGTCCTTTCCAGAAACTATTGATCTTTAATCCATATTTTTTAATGTTTTCTTTCCCCTCCTTAATTACTGTCTATTTACATATTTTTCTTTATACATTAAAAATCTATGTTCATGGTTAGTGCAAATTTAAGTGACATGACTTTCTATTTCAATTTTCATTGCTGAAATAATTGTATATGCTTTCAGACTTTACATGATTCACATACCTTCTCGCGTTTATGCATGTTGTAATATATCCCTATTTTTATCCAAAAATTGTTATTACTATTATTATTTACTTCACAGATTTACTTAACATTTTCTGGTGGTCTCTCCGCACCTCTAGGGGGAAAGCCGTGTGGAGTATGTAACAATGTGATTGTACACTTTTTGATTATTTGTAGAAATCAGAGATATTGTACATAATTTTTGTTTAAAACGCTTCTTGTTGAAACATACATAACTTCCGTGTACAATTGAAAAATACACTCTGCTGTTGGAGACTTCGTCTTCTCCCTGGTTATTTCTGCTTACTTGCTCAACTCATACCGTGTTGTATACTTCGGATTTATTGTAGGAGTCTACTACTCTCAACCGAAGACATTTCTACAACCGGAACACAGCAGCTACAGCAGACGCAACCCAAACAACTAACGTACCCGTGGATTTTTTAAATAATTTGTAGCAGAGGACTTAGACTTTATATCCAAGTAATCCTTTTTGTTGATATAACTCGTCACTGAACTCTTGGTAATATATTGTTATTTAACACTCCATTGACTTGGATTATTATTCTTATATTTGTAATGTTAGTGAACTGTAGTATAAGTCCCCTACATTAGTCGGGTATTCGGTGCGTGAACTGGCATCGGAAGTTGTCCAGTGGCATAAACATTGACCGGTATCTGACCCGATGCCTGTAGAGCTTTGCACTGAACAGTTGTTAGAATCTTGCATCTGTAGATTTTGAAAGGTGTACCTGAGTGTATAAATGCTGGTTTTCATCATGCAAGTCGATTGCGCTACATCTAATAAAGAACATCAATAAATGGATGAAAATAATCAGTGATGAGTTCTCTGTCTGAGAATATAAAAGAATATTAGAGGACTTTGTGTGCACCTAGATTGTTTGTACTTTTGTTTTAATGCGTCGATGAAATTTCGCGTTGCAGTCACAGATTTTTCAAGTTAGCAATCACGTGTTGGTCGGGATAGGATAGAGGCACAAATCAGCTGATTGCTGCAGTTTTAAGGTGTTACCGTGGCGTTGTGTTTTGGCTATTCTACGTTGTTTTTAGTGGTTTTTCGGCAGAATTGGACTTTAAAAATCGCATTTTAACGAAAAAGCGTCTAAAAACTGAGAAAAGTTGTCTTTTTCAATATGTTTACAAAATGCTCTCTTTTTATGGAATTGAAATACTGAGGTGCATAAGAAATGTCAGAATTTGTTGGAAAATGTCGATCATGATATACAATGCAAAATAGCTCCAATTGTTTCAGTGTATTTTACGTAAATGATTAGGAGAGAGTTAAATATCTAGGTAATTATGATTTCATTATGTTTACAAAATTTCACAGTAATAAAGGAAACTGAGTTGGTAATTTCGTCAGATAACGGTGAATAAACAGTCATTTAACTGGTAGGTACTGTCTTTCAAGTTATTTATTTCGCCCATCATATGCTGACTGAATTTTTGTCATATTTAATTCCCAGGTTATGGTCTTCAATACCGCAATCACTCAATACATTTAGACATTCCAGTGGTGTTAAAAAGGATAATATTTGTGTGATTGATGGAATATTTGTGATATTATGAATGTATTTGTCGAAATAAATATTGTTTTTAAAAATTTTGCACCTTATTCGTACACTAATAATACTTACTGTTTGTCAAGTTGCAAAGTGATGCCAGTGTAGAAGACATAATATTGGTAAAGTGCCATATTTACACCTGGTTGAATTTAGACACGATGGGGGTACTATTATCGCTTTCGCTAGTAAACCTTAAACAGGCGATATGCACAACAAAAGCCTATTTAATGCGTTACAGTATTTCATGATAACAAAGTAATCAATCAAATTTAGTGACGTAATTAGCTAATGCACGAGTCTGGGTGTTAATGTGATCATGTAAGAGCCTATTGATACGCAATGATAGCACAAGAAGAGTAATGTAGTTATCTCTTTATTACGCAATGATTTCCTTTGAGGTAGTGGTGTTGAACGCAACATAAGAATAGCAGACTATTTGTGATAAATAGGATATACGTTGCATGGTCAGCATGAAGTGCCTAGACTACCACTACAAGTCATGTACGTATAGGACCTATATTTGCAAGGTTATGTTTCGTTATAACACATGTTTGACGGCTACTTTCTTAACAATCGCGAATACCAATATTATACGCAACTGAAACACTTTACACAAGGCTTGATGATGCATTGAGGAAATAGTAAAATTTTAAGACTGACGCATTTCACATAAGTTTTAATACGTTGCCTACCATATTCTCGTTAACTCTGCAATGTCCTCAAAATGATGAGTGAAACAGACAAAGTTAGTCGACATAAATGCATAAATTTGTAAGGAAAAAATAATCCATCAAGTTAAAAACGGATTAGAATGAAAAAGTACATATTGTTTTACTGACGTTTCGCTATTTAATGCTGCTAACAGCTTTATCAAAGTATTACTAAACCAGACTTTACAAAATTTCAGCTTATATATCACAACTTAATCGTCGTTCCTCAGCAAGGCGGCATTTTCGCCTTGTCAAGTTGGCCAATTGGTAAATAAAGAAAAGAAAGCCAGGTGTACATTGTTGGATTTGATAAATGTGTAAAATTATAAAAGCTACGTGTTTACATAGTGAAATTGTTTATCACATTGGTGTTGATTTTGTCATTTGATATGAAGTCCTTCTGATGAAATGGGAAACGATATCAAGACTTGCGATAATGGAGACAGCAGCATATAATGAATGAGTTAATATAATAGCTTACCATAATCATCTGCAAACACGTGTAGTAGGAATGATTCAACACCTGTTCCAGGCATCTGGAAAATTCCATCACCCTTACGACAATTACGAGAGAACAAAGAAAACTATGAAACTCAAGTTTCACAATTGATGAAATGATTATGACCAAATAAATTTTGATTGTTTGTACATTTGTTTTAATGCGTCGATGAAATTGCGGGTTGCAGTCACAGATTTTTCAAGTAAGCACTCACGTGTTGGTCAGAGTTTCGTGACTTAGATGTAAGTGCAGGCCAGATATCGCTACCTGAAGCTGTTAACCGATGTTATGTTCTACATCCAATTTTACCGTCTAGTTGAGTCACCTAGATATTAAATGCATTACTATAATTTTGCTTTTTATTTGTTTATTTTGTCCTATTTTTAATTCCGTTTTACAGATGGATCCTCAATTCGCTTCTAACAAGCGTATCCGAAAGCACTCATTCGTGCGAAAAGAGGTTCTGTTTCTGGGAGACAGCAGACAAGAGTCAAGTGTTGAGAAGAAAACCTCACTCCGGCCAGATAGACGTGACAAGGTAGTGCCACATAAGGGGCATCCTGCCCAACAAGGTTCGACAAGTTCTGGCGCCGAAGTGCAAACGGATCCACCTGTAAGTCCCCACATCTCGTGGCTAGCAGAAATCTCGTAATTAGGAATGAACATGAAGACATTAGAATCATCTGAATAATGCGAATAGAGGAAATGGTGTAGGGAAGGAGGCGTTGGATTTATTTCATCGACATCTAGTCTACTCCCTGATGAAAGTGAATTCTTGAATAACTATTCTAGCATAGATCATTGACGAAACAGTTGTCGGACAATAATCAAGAGTAATTATGCTGGGTAGATAAATTAGCTGGTAGCGACAGAGTATCGCCACTTGTGTATCAAGCCCGTCTGACGTATGACACCCTATGTTACTGAATGTGACTTAAATCCATCACCGTTTTGTTTTGCATCCAATTTTACCGTCTAGTTGAGTCACCTAGTTATTGAATGCATTACCATAATTTTGCTTTTTATTTGTTTATTTTGTCCTATTTTTAATTCCGTTTTACAGATGGATCCTCAATTCGCTTCTAACAAGCGTATCCGAAAGCACTCATTCGTGCGAAAAGAGGTTCTCTTTTTGGGAGAAAGTAAAACAGCGTCCATTTGTGAGGAGAAAAATACCAGAGCACCATCAAGTAGTCATAAGATTGGAAAATGTTAATCCAGTTAGGATGACTGTTGTCTGTCGATTTCGCCGTTGTATGTACTAAGGTGAATCCGATACCTGTGAATGTGGTGATCAACCCGGATTATTTGTCGCTTATGAAAGGAAAGAGGTATGTGCATTATTCTGAATTAGGTCATGGAAGCTGTAAGTCCCCACATCCTGTGGCTAACAGGAATCTTGTAATTAAGAATGGACAATAAGTAATCTGGGCGTCGGTGGCACAGTGGTTAATACTTTCACCGACCATGCACACGGTCCGAGGTTGGAACCCCTGCCGACGCACATCTGATATCTATGGTCGGCCTTCGAAATTTGGGCTACCGATATCCATCCTGAATATTCCATACTTGTACCGAAAATACGGTGTGGAATCAAGCTGTAAATCAAAAATTAAAAAAAATAAGATTAAGTGATACATTTAATTGATATGATTGTATTATTATTGGTTTTTATCTAAGTCAATGATGAATTCGTTGCGATAATAATACCTATTATGAGCATAAACGGTATTATTATTGTTCTCGCTGTCAAGACTTATTATTTGTCATAAAGCCATTGTCGTTTTCTATTAAAATCTTGGTACAGGCTTTGGGAAGAACTGCATAACTTGTCGTTAAATAATTTTATTATTTCATGTGATGGTTCGATGAACCTGCTAGATATCGACCAATGATAAATTGCAAAGTCCCTTAAGTTTAGTGAAAAGTATTTAGCAACTTATATATATTGTTTGTAATGTGATTACTTATAAATGCTTATCAATAAAAATTTTTTTATTCAGGTCATACATGTACTACCCAAGTTAGTAATGCTTTTCTTGAACCTTTTCAGGCTTATGGAGAAACATATATGTGCTGTGTACGCAGTTGGGACCTACTGAGAGTAACGGAGGACTACTCATCTGAGCTATCTGTACATCTAAAATCTAATTTTTGTTTAATAAACAATTTTTCAATGAATCTGTGTTCCTTCTGTTCCAACGCGATTGTGTTCCAGTGACATAAGTAACACGTAAGTTAGGAATTGAGGGTAAACTGTTAGGAGTAAGTGCGGCGTCTGGGAAACTCTCTATCAGTCAGGTTTGCAATGTGGCCACCATTCTAGGAAGCTCGCCATCACTGTGCACATTGATTTGATGATATTCGATAGTTACCGAATGCCCATTATCTATGCATTGTTTAATGTGTAGTCAAAATAATCTAAGCGGAAAGTAATGCACGGTCTTCTACTTAGGAAACCGTATTGGGGGGGGGATAGTAGGACATTAGAGAGTAAATACTAAATGATTCGAGTCTTTACTATCTTTTCCATTACACGTGAAACTACAGACGTGATGTTGATAGGGCGGTGGTTGTCGATATCAGCTATAGGCCTGTATTTATGAATAGGTACAATATAAGACTTCTTCCAGCAAGTAGGCTATGTCCTATGGCTTAATGAAATTGAGTAGGAGTTAAGTTGAAGACAATATCACCGTTTTTCAATAGAATGGAAGATATACTGTCTGCACCAGGAGTGTTAGTAAGCTTAAGGTTTGCGATAGCTTTATCGATCTCTTGTGTGGTGAAAAGTATCTCACTCAGACATTCGTCTGTTTTACGTGTGAAATCCACGACCTGGTCGTTCTCCATGGTGTATAGTCTGGCGAAGTGCTCGCTAATAAGTTCACATATCACCTCGGTATTCTCTTAAGCAATACCGTCCAAGTATATTAATTTTAGATAGGCTGTTTTGGAGTTTGTTAGCCTACTTTTGAAAAGTCTGGCTAAGTCTCCTGGGTTATGCGGTGGGGTTGCTGGCCTCATGCCCAACCTCCCTCTTTGCCAGTTCTATTACTGGCTCTGTGAGGTAAAGGAGTGCGTCGTCCGGGGATGGAATCCCGCCCATGCGCATGGTTGGCGAGTGTCCTAGGCGCTATGCCACCGATGTCGTGTGATTATAATTGATGAAATGATTACAACCAAATAAGTTTTGTTTGAAACGTCATCCAGTATATAATACTGTTTCACTGTGTGATATATTGTCTAATAAACAAACTAATATGGAATTCCATACTACCACAGTGCCCAAGTTGTACACATATATTAATTGGTTTTTCAATTGAGGCCAATTAGGCCTATCTCTAGGAGCTTGGTCTATCATAATTAACTTTCTCTTAGTAAGATGGCTTAAGGATGCTTGCGTCTCTGTCATAGCAATCGGCTTTCGTGCTCCGGGTTCGGAATTTAATTTAGTTCCTTCAGTCTCCTCTTTCTTATGTTTAACTGGCTGATGGTGTCTGACAGGGCAGCCAGCACATGTTATATATAGTCTCCATTGCTTAGACACCTCCGGTGCTTTAGTTTTCATAATGGAAATGGAACGTTTGTCATAGCGCCTAGGGAACTTGCTGACTTGCGTGGCCACATTCGACTGGTACTTCACAGTGGATGAATAGTCAGACTGAGGAGTAACTGACTTATAGGGAGATGGGTAGAACACCAGTGGGATGGGTTCTGATGTTTTATGGCTCTTGACGTTTGTGTCAGTGTGCAAACGATGTATTTCAACATTATGCTCTGTTGATTCATCTATGTTCACCATTTCAGTGTTAGCACCAGTGTCTTTATAAAATACTTGGCTAATATTTGTCAGTGCCTGAGAAAATGTCTGATGCATGCGGTCATCAGTTATATCACTAGACAGAATAATTCATGGAACATCATCTATAGCTGTCCTATTAGGGTTATCAGCGTTCAGTGTTCCTGAGCGGCATCGTCTTTGACATAGTGTTAAATCAGGTGCAACCCTAATATTAATGTAGGGTGTTAAGGAGCTTATTATCTTACCAGATTTCGGAAAATTCCTATCTTCAGTAGACCTGAACTTGAAAAGCACCAAACATGATTGGTTTACAGATTTCTTACTAAGACGCAAAACCTGAAAGTCTGTTAACGACGTATAACAAACCTTTAGACATGAAGTTTTAAGTTTGACAACGGGCTCTCTGTCTGGAATGTTATAGGCCAACACGTTATATGAAAACATATGGGCACTGGGTTCGAGCCTCGGTGGGAACATTATCACTCACTGAGAAATGCAGGTACATCCAGCCGACGAGTCCCAAATAGGATGAAATGCGCATCCTGGATTCCACTGCTAGTCACCATCCACCAATTAAATACTAACTAAATGCCCAGACATCGTCGAAGCACCTGCACAAGAAGCCGACATGTCGACCTGAGACCGAGCACTTCGGTCCAATCAATCGACGGGAAAATCTCAAATTCAATTAAATGAAGGCAATCGGCTAAACAGCTTCTTCGGCCAAATGATGATTTTTGCGCTCGGATTTGATAAGTGATTTTAGACAGCTGTTGTTTAACTGGTCACACAGCTGCGTGAGGGACATAATGCTGTCAAACTTGCTCTGTAGGTCTGCTATTGATTTCTGAAGTGTCAGTAAATCATTTTCGCTACTAGCAGCATTAGCTATCAGTTCCTCCATGATATCAGATACCATAACTTTGGGTGTGTCTGGTGTCAAAAGTGTAGAATCGTCGACCGAGTTGAAGCCGTCAGACGGTTGACGAGTGTAAGATTTCATTCTGTTAACGGCACCTACACGTTTGACAGGCTTAACCATTACAGAGACAAGAACTTTCACAATTTCCGAGAAAAAGTCTTGAGTATATGAAAAAGATTGTTGTATTATGGATAAATAGTCCTATATTGAAAAATAAAAATATCAGATTTTCTTTTAATAGTACTTCCTGAGGATAAAATCCTTAGTCCCAGGTTGTTAGAAAGGGCATCAGAAGATTCCGGGTTGTAGATTTCACAAGTAAATACTATATATGTTCCAGGGGGCAGAATACAATCCTTGTTAAGTATAGACATGTGGATATTATGAGGAACGCGGCTAGTTTCCAAAAGGATATGGAAAGATGATTCACGCAGAAACAGATCACCTGTAGAGCAACAGTTTTACTGTTTTGTCACTGTAAATGTACCTGAGACTTGTTCCGAGAATTCTGTTTGCAGATCTCCAGTGAACACTTTAAGTATGTTGTTTGTCTTTAACAGAGATGCCACACTGAAAAGGGGACTACTGAAGGAGAGGAAATCTGTGGGTCCTATGCATTAGTAATTTTCAATTCTCGGTTGTGAAAGCAATGAAACATAAATCCAAGTAACCTACTGAAGCTGAAATCAGTGACAGGAAGTAAAATCAGGGGTTTTACCACACCCGAGGCTAAATAGTGAAGAAAAAATGAGGAAAAGCTTGTCAAAAATCGCCACGTTTGACATGGTAGCAGGGAGGTTTGTCCATAATAATCCACGTTTACTGATGTGCATTTTCTACGAGTTCCAATATGTTTCAGTGTCGTTAATATCTGGATGTATAATATTAGTTTTATATATATTGGCTTAAAAAATTGTGTGATATAAAACTCTCATTTCTTTGTTGTTGCCCACCAAAAGTTCTGGAAATTATCGCAATCCGTTTACTTTCGGACACTTAACCTCTTGATATAATATCATCGACTACTAATATCTATAACAAAGTTTTTTACATATGTGACTATTAACAATAACTCATATCTATAATTGTATATATTGTTGGATTTATATGTTCAAGTTGGTCCAAGTCAGTGTGTCTGTGGTTTTGGTATCATTTTAGTTAACTGTGCTGAACTATATTGCATGTTGTTGTATTGTATCGTTGTCGCTTTTTGCTGTGAATTGTTTTCCTCTTGCTAGTGTTGTTTTGATTGTTTTATCCCCTGTTTTCCGATTTTAAGGGGAGCAACCCAAAAGGTCGCTTCTCTCTAAACTTTATCATAATGTAACAATTGCTTTCCTAGGCATGAGGCTAGCAACCCCACCCTGTAAACAAAGTTGCTACAGGAACTTCAGCA